GTGCAAGTGTCTGTATTTTAAGTTGTTTAATGGTCTCGAGCTTAAGACATTGCGTAATATATTGTAAAAACATTCGGGCCTCACGGCCCTCTAGTTGTTACAATATATTACTTACTGTCTCGCTCTCGACCATTAAACAATACATGTTGATAACAGTAAACACCTGGTTCCTTGAAGAGAGAAATAGAGAGCGAGAGAGAGAGAGAGAGAGAGAGAGAGAGAGAGAGTTTAACCTCCACTTGATACAAATTAGGTTATTTCGGGAATAACACATGGTTCAATTTTATTTCAATATTTCGCTTGCGCATAGGGATCTTTAGCCAGCCGTAAGCGTCCACTGCGCTGTACAGTCCCGGGCCTGTTATGGTACAGGCTTCACTCAAAATGAAAAAGACTAAAAAAAAAAATGATTTACAAAAAAGTGCTCGTCTCTTCAATGGCGATAGTCGACCAGTTGATGTCATGAGTTAGGACTTCAAACAATTTAAACAATAAGGGCGATAATTCCGATAGAATCTCGGAAAATGCTACCTAACCATTCAGCCATTCACCACCCTATAAATAGATGAATTGGGATCTGTGTAGAGACTAAAACAAAAGAATTAATTTGATTTATTAATAACAACACTGGAACGAGATCTATTACTTTGAAATGTATTATACCAGTAATAAACCAAAGTATGTAAGAGAAACTCAAACTAGAGACAGATGTCTGGTATATGTATATGGATGATATTATATAAATCATGACAAGTGAAAATGACAATTTCATTTCAAGTGTGTTCTTGTTTGCCAATTTACTTGATATCCGTGACAATTCAGAGATTTCATCAAAAAACTAATTCTAGCTTCATAACTATGATATATTCCACATCTACCAACAGTATTGATGTTGAAATGCTGTTATTAAACTAATGCCAACCTAGGTTTAGAAAACAAGAGCTATTTACTAAACCAAGCCAGTGGAATGGAATGAAGTTATAACCTCTCTTCAACGGGTGGTACTTTTTACCGCCGACCAATACTTTTACCGCCGACCGTCGTGAAATTAAGCATTATTAAGCATCATTAAGGAATCATTAAGCATTTGGTCGGGGGTAACAAGTATTTGGTCGGCGGTAATTATATTACGGTCGAAAGTCATTACAATGCGGTCGGCGGTAAAAAGTATTTGGTCGGCGGTAATTACACAACGGTCGGCGGTAAAAAGCATTAAGTCGGCGGTAAAAAGTACCACTGTCTCTTCAACAGAACACAACACCTCAGCCATTTTATCTGGAGAGCACTATTTCTGCTGACTCTTCTGTAAATTTCACTTACCCAGGGTGTACACAGGTGGACCTCCATTTCTTAACCCATCCAAATGACTAGATTCAATTTCTTTGCCAACCCTGACAAGTTTAAAAATCACAAAGTTTCTAATCAACTCATGCCAGGATGCGAACCTGGGGCACACTCATTGAAGAAACCACTGATTAAAGTAGACAATGGATGAGTTTGAAGCTTGACTTTATGTTTGTTTTGTTTTTTTGTCAATGATAAAGAAGACATTTAAACGTTGATCTAATTTTGATCATAACATATAGCTGAATGAAGCAGTAAAGAAAAAGAAACTGGGACAGACTGGGCCCCAGACCGTCAGACATGATTGGGGGCAGATTGAGCATCAGACCCAATTGGAAAATAAAATTCGACATTTATTTTTTAAAAAAGTAATTAAATTCATCTTTACATCCACTGATAATTATAATGAACTAAATCCCAGGAGAAAAATGATTTATGAATTAGTTTCGTTTTCTTGTTGTGTCATGTCACATATTCTTCACAGTGATGGGGGCCCAAGAAAACTAGTTCGTTTGCGGGCTCTTTGGCCTGGGAATATGGATAACTTCAGATGCAAAATCACGCCATGTCTGTCTAGAGTGTATATTTGCTTTGATTTTGTTCTCATTCTTACACTTTTTACAGTCAGCTAGACAGTTGACACAGATGGTCCAAAATGGCCTAACTGAGATCCTTTTGCACTAATGTAAAACTAATCTGATCTTAAAGGTTAACTATTCCACAATATTAAGAAGTAGTCTTACCAAAAAGCTTTTTGGTCCAACAATTTGGTCAGAATGGATCAAGCCTAAGTCATGACATTCAGAAGTTCAGATCACTTTCTATTACTAAGTGCAGGAGGACCACACTGCATGCAAAAACCATCCGATAGGACAAACCTGCAGACAAGACAAACTACACGAACATTGCAAGAAATATACAACAAATATCAAATCAAGTGAATGGATCCGGGGTCCAGTCTTAAGTGTCCACTGCGTTGTACAGTACCGGGCCTGTAATGATACAGACTTCACTCAAAAATGAAAAATGAACTAACAATAAGGGAATATTTCCCAAACGTTGTATAATACTAATAGTGAGAATCATAATCAGCAATGTGCTACATGAAATATAAATATAGGGTTTACATCACATTTTTTTATTGTCTTATACTCGTCAATCAATGACTGAAGGATGAATCATTTCTATCAACAAACATCTAAATCGCTATCTAAATAACAGATAGTCATTTGTTAAAATTTAAACAAATGAAATAGGGATTACATTCTACTGTTCTGCTCTAACTGGGCTAATGAGGACAATAAATTCAAGCAAGACAAATGCTTATTGACATTCTTGCACATTGCAACATAAATCTATCCATTCTAATGACCCTTTTAAAGATCTTTACCTTTTTTTAAACGTGATATTGTAGGAAGCTTCACTTCACTGTTAATGTAATTGCATTTTAAACAAATAGTAAACATTTTGAATTTTTGGTTAAATTGTAACAATTGTAACCGAAGTCTGTTGTACTACTCTTGTGTAGGGATATTTAAATACTGGTACCTAATATAATTTTAATTAGACTGACAAAACATAGAAATTGATCACAAATTTACAACCGATTCTATATTTTCCATTTCATTATTTCGTTAGGCCGTTTAAACACAGCTTCAGCTTGACTGGAACTCAACATCATCTCGTTCACCGTTATTAAACACTCTCGTCAAGTAGTGACAAACATTTTGTCTCATATAACTTGGAGCTTTGTATAAATCTCCACAATCGAATTGCAATATCTTGCAATACATCAATTTATTCAAATATTTTTCTTTTCACTTGCCTTGAAATGGTTTTGCCATAAAATAAGTATGTTAAGTTACAGATAAGTATAAAACATTTAAAAATAGATTGCCAGGCAATGAAACATACACCCATAGCAGCTAAATCATCCGAGCAGTCAACAAGGGAGGGAGATGCCCTGATCTGAGGGGATCCTATTACAGTGAAGATTTCTGGTTAGGTTTGGATGCAGATGTGTAGCCAGACCAAATTGTTTGTGGGGGGTCAAACAAGATTTCCAGAGGGGAAATTAAATATTGGTAATACTGTGGGTTCAGAAAATTTATGAAATTGCTACCTTATTTAGTTGTTGAAAATTATAGTAGAACAGATCACAGCTGTCATGTGTGTGAGAGAGAGAGAGAAATGGGGTTTCATGTCCACTTGACACAAACTAGGTCATATCGGGACTAACATAATGGTTCAATTTTATTTCAATAATTCGCTTGTGTATTGGGGTCTTTATAAGTAGGGGGAAACCGGAGGACCCGGAAAAAACTCCTTGTCACGTACATTCGGGGAATCGAAACAACATTAGTTGATTAAATAACAAACCTTATGATAAAGCGCGTATGTGCTAACCATTCGGCCATCCACCCCCCCCACCCCCACCCCATGTGTGGGAGAGAAATTGATATTATGTTCCTTTTCCGAGTTGTTGTTGAGGCTTTCAGATGCCAAGGAATTATATTCACACATCTGTCCATTTTCATTCATTTCAAATTCTCTGCTTCTCTCTGGCTCTTCACTGCGTTTTGTCTGTTATTCTTTAATAAGATTTGCAAAAAAAACTTTGAACCCAAAGGCAGAAGTAAGTAATTGATCAGACTGGATACCAAGCTCATGCCGGTGATGTGTACCGTTATGAGGACTAAATGTTATGATTGTCGCTACATTAAATCTGATCATTGATCGAGCTCTGGGTGACAGAAAGTGGTGATTTCAATGACTTGTCATCAATTTTTTTAATGGCAGGGGTGGGGGTGGAGAGATAACAAAATCTTGAATAAATAGATCAAAGTCATTTTCATCAATATAACTTAAATATTAATATTTCTTGTACATATAAATACATAGCTGATCATGTCATACACCGGAATAATATGTTTGGGAATACATATACTCTCTTTTAATGTTTGTGGATTGCCGTCTATTTGGTGATTTTGTTTCATTATAAACGAAGCCTGTATCACTGAATGTCTGACTGAAGCTTACGGCCAGCCCCTGGATCTATTCACTTATTATTCTTATTATTTATAACTTTATAAGCAGTCTTATTATTTATAACTAGGAGGTCATGTGTCGTTTCCGAGGGTTTGTCATTTGAGTTTCTATTTGCTTTTGTGTGGAGAAGTTTTCTTGCATTTACTTTTAATACACAAACCCTCTCACTTTTTCTGCTACTATAATATAAGACAATTATAATTCTGATTCTAAATATCTCTAATAGATTTTCCGCGGAAATAAAATATTAAATCAATGTATATGTAAGAAACATTGCCAATGCTAGTCTCGGGAGGCGATTAATCAATGCCTATCAGAAACATCATATAATCCATTGTGTAAAAATAAGTGAATAAAAAGGATGATTTCTGTCAGTCATCAACAGCTTCAAAGGCAAAACCTTACAAGTGAGGAGAAACAAATCCAAAACAATCTAATTATGTGTGGTGTTGCCTGCGTGAAGAACTAGGTGATATCAACACAAAGTATATGAATGCTCTCCGATAGCCCAAAGCTTAATGCTGTATAGCCACGGCATCACTGTACTCTTCATTAGAGGTAGGTCTTTATGGTAGAAAGTCTTATAACATCTAGTCGATTCAATGTTACACAAAACAGATGAAGCAGTAGTCTGAATTAGACGTGGTTTTGTCATGAAACAGGATATTTTTGTGATAAAAAATATTGTGAACACTGAAAGATGATGTTAAGGATCATAAATTATTATTAAAAAAATGAAATGAAATGAAAACTGAAAGGTGATATTACAAGAGGACCTTTTTTTTAATGATCATAAACAATGATATTTGTTTTTACGTGGTAAATAAAAATTTTTGTGGAAATTGAATGGCGATATTAAGAATTAGAAATTATTATTAGATAAACAAGGATTTTTTTTAATGGTAACAAGAAGTTTTGTGAAAATCGAAAGGTGGATTTGTTTAAATGATTACAAACAAGGATCCTTTTTTCCTTTTTTTTTATGGGTAAATAAAAAAGATTACGAAAATTGAAAGGCGATATCCAAAATTGTTATTATTTGAACAAGGGCTGTTTTTATAATAAACATTAAAATTTTGTGATACCTGAAAGGTGATGTCAAGGATCCAACATTTTTAATAGTACAAAAAAATATTGTGAAACTTGAAAGGTTATAATAAGGTTCCAAAATTGTTTTGTTTTTTTTAAAAAGAGATTTTTTATTTTAATATTTTTAAAATATGTGAAAACCAAAGGTGATATTACAAATAATCAGAATTTACTATTTTCATAAATTTTGATTATAAAATCATTGCAGTGGTCAAGAAAGAAATACAACATAATGGATAATTAGGAGACAAAATTTGTGAAAGTGTTAATGTGGATGCAGAATTTAAAAAGCAATAAAGCTCTCGCTGAATACGTAAGTAGGATTATATTGTTATTGAAAGAATACAAATAAGGAAGAATACAAGTTAGCAAGGAAACAGGATTTCTTGTAATAAAAATACTGTGAAAAGACAATTAATGTGGCTTAGAGGTTAAGAGCATTTCAATTAAACAGCAATAAAAAATAGTTATTACTTAGGGACACAAACACTCTGAAGATATTCACAGGTTGGTAAACATACTTATTTATCTAGTGGTAAATGTTACACCAGGTTAAGTTAATTAATTAATTTGAGACAAATCAGTTTAAAGTGACTGATTGTCATTTTCATTAATAGGAAAATATGTAAATTCTATAAAGGGCTTAAAGTTACGTAAATGTCCGCAAAATCTGAGAAAAAACAGTTAATCTCATGTCTTGAGATACAGACATTTTAAAATCATACTAAGATGTACTCATAATTTCACTGATAAAACGCGGTATTCCACTACTGATCATAAAATAAAAAGCATTATTTCATCAGTGACAGTAATCACTCTACTTTGCTTTTCTGTGCAAAAAATAAAATTATATGTAATAGTTGGAAGACAGATAATCATAAGTCTTTATGTCAACAATCATAATTATAACTGTAATGTCAATAATATACTGCTCACATTTAAAGATAGGTTGCCAGGTCACAAAACATACGTTCACAACAGCTAAATCATCTCGGAATTCCACCAGAGTTGTCACATTTTTATTCTTTTGTAGATAATGGGAACATTCACAAGACACTAAAAACTGACTATCTTACCTAATTAGTGTTCTTCTACCTATTAAATATAAATTGGGTCAGTTTTTACGAATCGGAAGTGTTTTACGGATGGGACAAAAAATTATTTCAGATTGCCTATATCTTGGTTATTTCTCAGCAGATCTTTGTTATGCCAATGTGTACCGTACATAGGATCTTTTGAAATGGTTTACAAAGTTGTAATGTCAAATAATAATTGTTATCAATAGTCTGAAATCAACGGTGAAAAGTTTCAGGTCGCCAAACAAAAACGTTTTTAATAGAATATGAATTAAAAATATTGTTGATCACATATCATATATGTGTGGGAATTTTTCATTTTTTAAAAATCCCTTTATCACCAAACTAGCAAATGACATGCTTCAAAACTACTTATAATCTATTGAAAACACTCTCTACTTTCGTTTTTATGACCATTTGTTTGTTTACCATATTATATGAATAATTGCTAATTTTCATTATTTACCTGTCAAAAGTCGGCCATGCTTGATTCAAGCCTTGAGTTTTCGCTTCGTGCTCTCTGATTGGCTACGCGCGACCAATCAAATCAGTGTTTGAATGGTACCTTCAGCGCTCATCGCACGAGCGTTTCGCAAATAAGAGGGTATATTATAAGGAGCTGAATTCATCACTTGTCCTGGTACTGTGGTCCGGTATTAATATAGGTACGGGAATAGTAACTATTCCATTTATTAGCCGGGAAAAGAAGCTTTTCCGCCATGCTAATAAACTATATTTAATTTTGGCTTTTATTTATCAATGATTTAAAAAGTATTTAAACGTCGTGATTTAGTTAGGTTTAGTTAGGAATTTTTCGCGCTCATACATTTAACATTTAAAGTGGCTTTCTACATTTTCTAATATTACTGCGCTTTCGGTTCGGATTGTTTGGTAATTATACTCATCGATCATTGGCGCGGGTCACACTCGCGAAGTGATTCCTTGGAGCTTTTTTTACTTTGCGGACTTTTGTCTGCATTTATGTACATTCGGTCTTGGTTTTTCATGTCATTAGTTTTATTGTGCGAACTTTGTGCAAACCGGTACCTGCATTGTTTCGTGTGAAATGACTGTGCCTGTCGTCTGAATTTTATCTTGCTCGGAGCGAAATCCGGCATTTAGGACGTGGTCTGGAACGGGTAGAACAAGTATTACTGTAGGCGGAAAGACGCGTACGATTCCTAGTTGTTGAAAGTTACTATAGTACTAATAGTCAGGGAATCTCGAGATAACATTTAAATTAGTTGTTTTGTAAAAACGTACCTTCATATTCATCTGATAAACACTGGGATAAATCTAAACTTTTATCTTAGAAATTGAGGCCTAATTTATTGGTTAGGGATAAACTCCTTCATTCATTCATTTATTCATCTATTTATTTATAGATTTATTAAACCATACGGGTTGTCAGATGTTGCAATTTGTTTAATAAAACTTTTGGAAATAATAAATAATCGTTTGTTTTCTCTGAATTGATGTTTGGTGCAAACCATTGAGCATCCAGTATACGAATCTCTGTTTCTTCTGAATAAACCCACCGTTGGAGGTTTTGTGTCTGGTAAAAAGGGCGGGACTTACTTTGCATTTATTATAACTGAGGGTCGGGACGCGATTGAATCCCGGGTACCTTTGGTTTTAGCAAGCTTGAACCTACATTTTTGCTTTTAAGTGCCTGGATACATTATTTTCGTCGGGCTTGCCCTCGTATTACATATTGGCGATCTTCGTGGAGTACATTTATGCCAGTCATAAGCCCCTCCTACTACACTAGGAAGGAGAAGTGTTAATTTCTGTCTTCTTTATTTTCAGACTTCAATGGAATTGGTTCTTGAAAAACATCTACTGAACAAAAACAGGATGTGCATGTTCTTACGTCAGTCAGCAAATGATAGAATCTGTTCAGATGTGAAGTAAAACTATTTGTTATAAAAAGTTTATTTTCTATTTGACAGCATTAGACTCAAACTAGAACACTAGAACATGGGCTACAAGTAAATATTTTCAGTAAAGTTTGTTCTGGACAGTTGAGGATTTTGGCTTCAAACAAAAGTGTTATTAAATGTTCTAGAAAAATATAAGATGCCATGCCTAGCGCACCACAAATGATACTTTTTCAGTAAAGATTATTCGGGACATGATATAGCCATCGTTGTCACATCGGTGTAATTGAGAAGATTATTTTTACTTATTGTTTGGTGTCTGCTCGGTTCCAAATATGAATGTGTCCACCATGTTGACCCCTATTCCTACTGGAGTGGAGGATGATGGGAATTTCACGGATTATATGAATGAATTAATGTCTATTACAGAATTGTCATTACAACAGCGTGCTCATATTATTCTGTCGCAGCCAGTGTCCATTATATCGTTAGTTCTATGCTTTCTGACGATCGTGGCCAATTGTTTGTCGATCTGTGCTACCGTTCTTGGCCCACCAGCTTTTATTAACACACACATGAAATTAGTAATCAGTCTTGGACTCTCAGATTTATTAGTCAGTTTTAGTGTCCTGCTGCATATTTTGAACAAAGTTTTCACAAACGTGCCCCGGTTTGATGCTGGTCCAGATGACCGCCTGCCATTCTCATGTATGACATTGTTTACGTTTGCGCTCCACACCGCAGCTACGATGATTTCGTTACTGAATCTTTTAGCGATGGCGGTCGATCATTATGTAGCCATTATGAATCCGCTACATTACAACGAGCATTTAAACGAGGTGAAAGGAAACATATTAATTATAGTGATTTGGCTTCTCGCATTTGCGGGAGGATTTTCTGTGTATTTGGGAGATGTTCAGGAATTCCAGGCGTACAAGCATGTGATCAATTACTGTGAATTTGTTCAAAAAAACGACTTCCATGGAGAATATTTAGTTTTTTTCATAGCTTTTGTGTGTTTCTTTGTCATCACTTACACTTATTTACGGATTTACATGGAAGTTAGGCGAGTCTATCGACAGGGGACAAGAGACGACCTGGATTACGCGCGTAACAGGAAGGCTCTTTTAACCAGTCTTTTAATTATAGGAACATTTGTGCTATGTTGGTTACCCACTTGTGTGTTTCAAGTAGCTCTGGTTATCCAGGTCCGTGTAAATTCCACCATTGTCAGACAAATGTACGCAACTCTATTGAAAGCAAACAGATACCTCAACTTGCTACTATTGGTCAACGCCTTGTGTGATCCTATTGTTTACGCTGTGCGATTAAAAAATGTGCAGCTGGGATACAGACGAATATTCCAAATGTGTCGGATTTTAAAACATAAAAAGCGTCGACATTCAACAATGAAATCTGAACGATGTACGACACAAATTGCTCGATTACAAACCATGGATATTATAAGTCCGGGTATATGCAACATGGAGAACGAAAAAACGAATGAATGTGTGGAATTATTACCCATACATAACAATAACTTCATTATTAATTCGGACAAACAAAATGGTGCCCTAATATAACCTGTTATACTCTAGACAGTGCTTTCACTCTCTGACTGCACTATATAACAATAACTTCATTATTCCCATATATAATGAAATGTAATAAAATCTAAGACTATGACAAAATTAACTCCTTAATTAAAGATACATTATGGGAGAATACATAAAGAGCTGGTAGTTTTCACTAAAATAGTTAAAAACTAGATACTGTAAAGGGAATTTGCTGAAAATTTCAGTCAAATTGATCACTATGAACCAAGATTTTAGCGATTTAATTTTCGGCCTAGCCTCGATCATCATTACTAAAGTTGGTAGGATAAAAAACATAGTCTCGATTATCCATTTCATGATTTAATTATGAATGGAAGTTTAAAGAAAGACCTGCAATAGGCAGATTTAGCTCTTGCATAATGTATGTTTAAAGTACAGCTAATGGTTGGAAGAAATCCTGGTAACAGTGCAGGCAAGATCAGATGTCAGGGGCCAAATAAAACTTTGATAACGTCCTACTGTTCTGCATCAACCAGGCTATTAAAGACGGGCCTATGCCATACAGATATAAATGAGAGAAATTTTGCCCAGACAGTGGCGCTATGTTCGACTCTTATTCCAAATTCCAACCCAAAGGTTCTTTTATGTGCACACCAACTTGTACACAGGACCCTGTTTTTCATCCCCATCTGAACAACTAGATATTGTTCCTTGCCAGGCCCTGTCTGCACCACTGACAAGGGGGAATCCTGTTCTTTCTTGGCTAACACCAGTATCAAACTGCAGGCCTCTGGTTAGTGAGCCTGTGCCTTAATCACTGAGCCACCAACATCATTATTCATACTGTCAATACTGACAAAATGGTGTCTAAAATTAACTGACATTATTATTCATACTGTCAATACTGACAAAATGGTGTCTAAAATTAACTGACATTATTATTCATACTGTTATTACTGACAAAATGGTGTCAAATAAAAACTGACAGCGTTCTTGTTCGATTTCTTTACCAACTCCCAATGGTCATTTACATTTCAAGATTTCTGTAATTTTATACCAATGTGGTTCACTTTATACATATTTTATTTCAAAGTATAAGTTAGTTTTAGTATATTTACAGGACAGAGAAAAATATAAAACATTTCCGGATTTCAGTTACGGACGTTAATCAATCTGAAGATATGTTGCCAGGGTACAAAGCCATAGCTCGAGAGAGAGAGAGAGAGAGAGAGAGAGAGAGAGAGAGAGAGAGAGAGAGAGAGAGAGAGAGAGAGAGAGGTTGGGGTTAACACTCGACACAAACTAGGTCATTTTGGGACTAACGTATTGTTCAATTTTATTTCAATAATTCGCTTGTGCATAGGGGTCTTTAGCAGTGGGAGGAAACCAGAGGACCCGAAGAAAACCCACGAGGTTGGACAGGCGACGCTATTCCTTATCACGTACAACCAGGGAACCAAAACCACGCCAGATTATTCAATGACAGGCCTTATGATACAACGCGCATGTGCTAACCATTGGGCCATCCAACCCACCACAATACTGTGAAAGTTTAATCTCTAAAAGGAATATTAGTCCACAAATAGTTCTATTCTGTTCAGTATTTACAAACATACAATGAAATGAAAATTTGTCAACATTGAGCATCCACTGTCAACAAACCAGTGCCACCAGTGATTTCTGATGAAATATTTTGATGGGCCTCTTTTTAACCCGATTGAATCTTTGAGGGAGATTATCTACCATAGATTTTAATTTTCATAGTTAAATATTAAACATACATTATGCAAGAGCAAAATCTGATTATTGCAAGTCTTAATTTAGGCTTCAGATGTTATAGAAATTATAAATTAGATCTTTATTTAAACAACAAGCCCAAAATCAACTCTGTAGACCCACGGATGGCTCGGCTACAGCTCGGATTTAAATAGGATTTCACTTATTGATAAATTCAAATATGGCGCGCCCTGATGAGAATACGTCAGTTAGATCGAGGCTAAATGATAGAGTGTACTTAGCGAGGCCGCTGTAGAGCGTTTCCTCATGCCATTAAAAACTTTACTTGATAATCGAGATATGTAGGTGGAGTTAACGCCTGTCAATCAAACGATCGGTCAAGGTGAAGGCACATTTCACTACCATTTCTAGTCAAATATTACAACGATGATAACTATGTTCAGAATAAAGTAATTTGACTGAAATTTTCAATATATTCTTCTTTCATCATCTACTTTTGAACTGTTATAGCAAGAATGGCCAACTCTCTATAAAAATCTCCCATAATGTATCTTTAAATAATTTGTATGCCATATAACATAATTTAAATTGTGAATTTTTCAATATTTTCTGAAAAAAGCAAATGCCTACCATTATTGTAGTTGGCAGGGGATTAAACATTCTTCAACTGATGGCCAGCGGCTTTAACAAAATACTTTAAGATATAACTTTGATGTAAAAACAAGTCAGGTAAAAAACAATGTGTTATAAAGAGAAATGTTGCCTAAGCAGCCATGCTATCGCCAATTCAGGTAAAGGTATCAAACTATTAAATCTAAAATCTCTCACTGTCTATTTTCTGTATTAAAATCATTATACATTTATTCATATTATTTCTGTTTTGTTTTTTCTTGTCATATTATTGAAATAAATATTAATTGTTAACTTCTTTCTTTTTCAATTCAACTTAAGAAATTATGGATGTACCGTCGATGGACAAGTTCATTATCAAGCTATTCATGATGCAACTGAACAATAAAATTCCCTATAGGTTCCCAATCTCATGCTATAAGAGATTGTCAAGATTATCAAGTCATTAACACACTAGTGTGCTATGAGAAACATTTTGCCCAGACAGTGGCGTTCTACTATTAATCGATTTTCAACTGTCAAGGGTTCTTTTACATGCCCACACAGCATACCGAGAGCACAGGTGAACCTAAATGACTGGACGTGGTTATGTTTCTAGCCAGATCCTCCTTCCTGTATCGCTGATACAGGGAAGGGGATCACATGGCTAAGTGGGTAAGACGCTCGCTCGCTAGCCTGGAGGTCGGGTGTTTGATCCCTGCATTTGCCGAGAAAGTTCATCCAGATTTTCCGGCGTGGTTTCCCCTTGTCAGTGATGCAGGACGGAGGGCCTGACAAGGACAGCTGTCTAGTCGTTCGGATGGGACGAAAAACGAAGGTCCTGTGTACAAATTGGCGTGCACATAAAAGATCCCTTGGCAGTTGGAATTCGATATAAGAGTAGGCCGTAGCGCCGCTGCCCGGGCAAAATTTTCCTCATAGCACACTGTATGGTGTATGCCCGTCTTCATTAGCCCAGTTTAGGAGCAAAACAGTAGGACGTTAAACCCCATTTCATTTCATTTCATTTAGATACACTGAAACCAAGTTGGAAAATTGTGGGGAAAGTTCTCAGCTATCACCGGGGCTGAACCAGGAATGATCTCAGCTATGACCAGGGCTGCATCAGGATTCACCTGGTTATTTAGCCAGTGGACATAAATTCCGTTTGGATAAATCAATCTGAATAATTTATATCAATATGCTTTTTAATCAGATGATTTGTTATTTTGTAGTCCTACGTACCGTTTATATTTGTCTATTAGTCTCATTTGGAATATTGGGCCTTGAAGCAGAAATCAATTTATTCTATTAATCATAGAAATCGACATCGAACCCCAGGCCGCCTGCTAAGTGTACCAGCACACAAGAACATTTCTTTAAAAAAATTAAATCAGTAAATCAATGTGTAAAAAGCTTGAAATGTGGTGGTAATTTACTACCTCTTGCGATCGATATATTATTGTCATATTTTTATTCTGTCATTACACGGATTGAATTCTTTACTCACTACAGAAATTCTCAAATATACAAAATTATACACATATACATAGTCTCTCGTGTCTAATTTCAGATCCATTGTCATCTAAAAACAAACTAGAAAGACTGTAATAATGTCATACATGGTCTCTCATATCTAAATGTATCCAATAACAATTAGTTAGAATAAATGGAATGATGAATTGAAATAGGGTTTTAACGTCCTACTGTTCTGCTGCTCCTACTGAGCTAATGAAGATGGGCATACACCATACAGTGAGTGTGCTATAAGGGACATTTTTCCCGGACAGCAGCGCTATGGCCTACATTTATTTCGAATTAGGGATCTTTTATGTGGCTTTCGTGTCTTTAATCTTTTGATGCACATATTTAATTGTAAAGAAATTGGCCCATCACTAATCAAAAAAAAGCTGATGTATGTCTGCTTCCTTAATTCGTAAAATAAATTAATGACACCCATTTATCTTTTTATAAAGCATCGTATTTCATTTCGTTTTTTATAGTTCAAAATTTAGTTTTACTTGTCTTTACTACGAGTTGTTATATAACTCGCGTTTTGGATGAAGCGCGTGATTAGCCATGAAATGGTATGCTACAGCAAGTTTTGGCCGTGGAGTGCACGGAACTGTGGGTAACCCACTAGAAACATCAACGCTGATTGATTAATCAAATGATGTCATAGGGTCAAAAAAAAACATCTTGTATGACCTCTGACCTGACCTTCCACTACAACCTGTCAGATTTTCATGTAGTAGAGGTTATCAAAAGTATAAAAAAACAAAACGAAATATAGATCTGTATTTTAATCATCTATCTCAGTGAAGACATTTACCTAAGAACATGTAAGTCTTCTACCTCAATAGAAGCAAAATTATTGTGTTTAAAAAGGATCTGATAGAAAGATGGATGGATGAACAAACCCATACTAAACACATAGTAGATCATATTTACACGTCTGGCCTGGACTATTATAGGCAGGTTGGGGAATTGACTTGTCAGTCGATTTATAAATCATAAAGTATAATAAAAGTAAGATATATCAAAACATTTAAGCTTAAAACAATAAATACAACAGAACACAATTTTAATGAGAAACAATCATTGGTTTTATTATATAAGCAAACCAGTGATTTTTTCCCATAAAAATTGTGTTCTGTTAATGTTTTTCTCAATTACTAAATGGCACTTAGACGATTACAATAAATATAGTTAAGCTTTCATATCTAGAAACATACTAATACTATAATTTGAAATAAAGCTTTATAAAAAAATGTCTTGCTAATTATTGATAAACAAAATATTACGAAAAATGGACCGATTTACACAGCTCTGAAGTAGGGCTCTAGCGGAGATAACAAAAAATAATTAGTCATTGGATCTTGTCAGAAATATCTTAATGAAATGTAAACGTTAAATTGTAAACAAAACCATTACTGATTCGTATATTCTAAGGGATTTGTCAATATTGTAAACATTATAATTAGAATTTTATCAATTTTTAGGGATTTCCATTAATTAGTAGGTAAAATGGAATGGGTTAGTTAACAATGGTGATTGTCATTAGAATCAGTTTCTATCATTTTGTACTGAAGTTAAATAAAACTAAAAGCTTTATGTGGCATACTCAACTTTTAATTAGTATGTAAAGACTGATTGTCAATTAGGGCTGGGCGATAATGAAAAAAAAAAAAAATTGAGATAATAATTTATCAAATATCACGATAAATGATAGTTAAGATATTATTGTGATAATTCAAACTTGTGTCTTAAAAAGTCAATTTTTGAATAATTGAGCAGAATATCGTTGCTTGAAGCTTTTATGTGGCATACTTAACTTTTAATTGGTATGTAAAGACTGATTGTCAATTAGGGTTGGGCGATAATGAAAAAAAAAAAAAATTGAGATAATAATTTATCAAATATCACGATAAATGATAGTTAAGATATTATTGTGATAATTCAAACTTGTGTCTTAAAAAGTCAATTTTTGAATACTTGAGCAGAATATCGTTGCTTGATGTCAAACTATTGTTGCTAACTTCAGTATTCCCCATGATGGATATTTTACCCTACACCGGCTGGTGTAATGCTATTTTTACAGATGGATTTAATTCTATCAATAGAATGTCAAACAAGTTTTGGTTGTCACAATATACCGGGGGGGGGGGGGGGGGGGGTCGGGGGGGGATATTTTTATCACGATCTTCCAAAAAACCTGTATATTGCCCAATTATTTAATACATTTGTAAAGCGAACACACAGCAGCTAGTGTAGCTGCTCAGTGGCTTGGATTTACATTGACAATAGTAAAATAATGAATTTACATATAAGGCCAGATCAAAAAAAACATTCTCGTTCTCAGACAATCCTTACCAAAAATCTGATGCTTTTGTTTTAAGATATTTTTTTAAAAAAAAAATGGATGCACCAAGGCTTCAACTAAACAATTTGAAATGAAAAAGTTAATATTCTAATAATGATGACCCCGTGATATACAGACAAGGTCAAATTGACATAGAAAAGATCCATAACCTTTGTATTATATTGGCACAACAGCATCGTCCTTCATCAAAGATTCAAGTGAATTCTGTGAGAAACTGCAGAATATTCAAAACCCCGGGAGGATGGTCTCGTATGATGTTGTAGATTTGTTTACAAATGTACCCAGGGAAGAGGCCCTGGAGATTCTACGCAAGCGCATAGATAGTTTAGACAACCCACTAGAGACTTCCCTATCAACAGACAACATCATACCCTTGTTGAAACAATGCATCCATTCAACATATTTCTCCTGGGGTGATGATTTTTACGAACAGACCACTGGATTACCCATGGGAAGCCCCCTCTCCCCTTTAATTTCAGAAATATTTTTAACTGATTTAGAAGAGAAGGCGCTTCAAACATGCTACTTTAGGCAAGTGGATGATACCTTTGTTATTATTAATCAACAAGATGATCCAGAAACACTGTTACAAGACCTCAACAGGCAACAGCCACGTATAAAATTCAAAATGGAAACCGAAAATGATAACCAACTACCCTTCCTCAATGTTTGTGTATCTAAAACCAACAACTCGATCCGTACCGGTGTCTATAGGAAACCAACCCACATTGACCAATACATTCACTTCAAATCTAATCACCCGAATAGTGTCAAATCGGCCACAATTTCAACTCTGGTGAACTGTGCGAAAAAGATATGTGATCCTGAGAGCCTCTCCAAGGAAATTGATCATCTCAAACATGTCTTCACAAATTTCAACGGCTATCCAGAGAAGTTAGTGACAAACACCATCAACAAGACCCTGTCGGCGAGTGCAGCTAAATCCAAAACTCCGCCTGCCCCAGTCAGAATCTTCCTTCCTTTCAACGGCAAAGTCTCCTACCAAATCAAACGGCTACTAATGCAACAACCAGAAATAGATGTAACTTTCACAAAAAGCAACAGCACTAAAGATATATTAAGAGCCAATGGTAAACAAAATCTTACACAACCACCACAACCAAAGGGATGTGTTTATCAAATAGTATGCAATTGTGGGATTGCATACATCGGGGAGACAAAGCGACCATTAAATAAAAGGATAGATGACCACAAGTCGAAAGCAGCAACCAACAACTCAGCTGTAGCTGAACATTTGAACTCCAACCCTCGCCACAGAGTCCAATGGTCCAAGGTAAAACCACGATGCAAGAATATAAGCAACAAGAGAGCGCGCCGATTGCATGAAGCCATT